AAAATCGAATTTTTAACTTGTGATCCGAATTCCCCCATAGGACTCTAAATTTTGATTATCCGTCATTAAATCTAAATCAATATCAATTGTTTTTTTAAATGCCATTAAGCTTTGATGTAAAATTTCTCGATGTTGACCAGTACTAAGAACAATAGTTTGAAATTTTGAACGATAGTAATCAGATTTTAATTCAGCAATTAAAGGAGCACATTTTATTCCTTCTGGACATGTACCTAATACAACAACTATTTTAAGGAGATTTTTATTATTTATTATTATTGATGCATTAAATATTGGGTGTAGGTGTGTGAATGCGGGTGTGTCATTTATTTAAACTCACATCCACACCCACACCCTGAAGTAAAACCTTCACACCATAGTTCAGATACAATTGATTCAAAAAAGAAGTTTTAGGCTAACCAACACAACATTTAAAAACAAGTTTAAAAAATTGCAAAACTAAAAAATGTAGGAAAATGTGTATTGTTAATAAATAATTAACGTTTTATGTTTTTATGTAATGTTATTATAACATCATTAATTTTTCGTACAAGATGAATAGACTGTGAGATCGTTTGCCAATGGACCAAAAATAACTTTCTTAGTGTGAAAATCATTATAATACTGATTATATGCTGGCCCTTCCTTACCCCCTGCTGCTGTAGATGCAATGTTATTCGATAAGTGATTGTGTTGAAAAACATCAAAAATTGCACATGTTGTTTGTATAGTTGCATTCGATATTTTACAATTATGAGCCATAAGTCTGCACCAAACAAGATCGAGTCCCCAACCTAATCCAACAGAGGCACTCAAAAAATTCCATATACATTCCCATGCTAACAAGTTACCAACTACGATAGGACCAATCTCGACCAAATCTGTCCATCGACCGATTTTTTCAGCGAAATCTTCGTGTGTACCAGTAATTTCATGAGAAATAGCGCCATTTAATCGTCCGGGAGCTGATAAAGGGACATTTAGTTTTGTAGCAACACATTCATATTGTAATGGTTGAAACAATATTTCTACATCATCATCAACAATCCATACATACGCATATGCTCTCAGTATGGTAGGTGTCAGAAAACGTTTGATATACCAAAACCTTTTCTGACCATTAACATGTATCCATATAAATCGATCTTTATTAGGATAGGATGACCAATTAGAGTCGTCATGTACCATAATAATACGAACGAAATGTTTATCATCAAATACTTTCAACATATTTTTTGCCAACCATTTATCACGCGAACTTTCTCGCCAGAATGTTACAACTAAACTTTTATTTACTTTATAACAATCTGTTTTGTTATCTAAATTGCAGTCTGTTTCACCTTCCAATGATACACTACCGTTTGAAAAATGATTTAAATGTATGATTTTGTTAATACCTAAGACTGCGTCTGTTTTAGGTAAAATTTTTGAGTTACTGGAACCAAGACTAAAATCGTACATTGTGGAGAACGATATAACTAATACAATACATATAAATAGAACCATTTTTCTATGAATTACTAACAGTACTGTTAGAACATTTCGAGCACATTTTATTGTTGTAACACTATTTCTTAACATTTTATCTAGAAAAGAGAGCAACTATATATACTTTATTAGGGTGTGGATGTGGGTATGGAGGGTGTGGATTTACAATCGAGAGCACTAAAAGACTCACACCCACTTCCATGCCCTTAACTACGTTATATCTGATTATTAAGAAATAAAATAATTGTAGCAATAAAGCTGGAGTTTACTCATTTTAAAATATCTTGAGATAAAGCTTATGATACCTAAAATGCTCTTGTTTGTGATTTCTTTTGTGAAAGATAGAAGTGTGAAATAATATATATATTATATGATAAAAAATATTTAAAACTATTTTTATAAAATTGTTCGATTTCGATGCTTGCTTGTCAAAGCTGCTATTGCAGTTTTTACCGCATGAGCGAATCGATCACGAATACTAGTATCTTTAACATATTCATTAGTACCACAACCCGGCATTGTACGTGGTTGACTCATCGATATATAATGAGCAAGTGTTATGTGATTTTCTAATGGTTGTTCTTTCGAAAGTCCAACTAGTTGCTCATGAATTGATAGATATTGAACAAAACGTGGTCGATACAAATACTTTTCACGTCCACTTTCATATAGATTACGTGCACGAAATCTAAATCGTTCGATAGTTAAACGATTTGTATCATTCTCTTCTGCAGTATAACTATCAGAGTTTTTACTACAAAAGAATTGACTTCTCAGATTAATTGATCCAATAATTCGTCGTCCAAAATTTTCATGTACATAATCAACGATAGTTGTGTATGGATGTAGTGGTACAATGTATTCATCAAGATCAATCATACCTAACCATTCTGATTGATCACCATAACGAATTAGACAATCATGTAATGCTTCTACCTGAAAATATCGTGATGATATGGCATCGACAAGACCAAGAGTAGAGAAATTCCATTGTACAACATCAACAAGACCAGGATATTTTCGAGTGTAGATATTAATAATAGTTGAGAGATGATTATTAGTATCAGTTGTATTATATATAACAAATTTGCTGAATCCCACTAATCGATGAAACTCTATCCATTGAACTAAATATTTACCTTTATTATGTAAAGGTGAAGTACATAATGTAAACGATTCTTGGCTGGAATTTGATGAAATAACAGAAACTATTGGAACGCTTACAAATGCTTTAAGTATAGGTATTTTCCTATCTTTTGTTGTTGTTAATGCGAGATAGACTCGTATTGTTTGATTCAATTTCCATAACTGATCCTTAGCAAATTGACTAAGTGGACAATCCAAAAGAGATACTCGTTCGCTGGAATATTTCGAATCATAATTATAAACAGGTGTCACCGATCCATCACTAAATATACACCAAAGGCTTTGTTGATTTGAAGAAAGTGAATTAGTTGAAATATTTTTTGGTAAAACAGTTTTCATATCAGTTGGATAAACTACGACGAAAGTTAGACTTACTCCATACCGTATACGACTTGCACCAACACTTAACACAAGCAAATGACCATCGGCTGATAAACATGGTACTGTAGGTATATTATCTTCCGCATTTTCAGGCCATGCAGCAACGACAATAGACATATCATGAAGTAAATTTTGTTCATCAAGAGTATACCCAATAGGATTCCAACCATCTGCTAGAGAAGAATATGAGGTATGAATATTCAAAGTGGTCGCTACAAATGGGCATTTAGTGTTTATGTAGACAATTAATGAAATAAATAGAATTAAATTACATAAAATAACTAACATAAAAATATTGGACGATGCAAGCTTCATATATATTCAATTAATCTAGAACTAAAAAATAAATGAAACATGAAGTCACATAACTTACATTCAAAGTGTAATCTTAAGGGTGTAGGTGTGGGTTTGCATTCTAGAATAGTAAAAGTCCTACACTCACTTCCACACACCCAAGCCCAATTTATTTATGCAAAACTAAATACTTGATGTTTATTTTAATGTTAAAATAAGTCTAAATATGAAAAAAAAACAATTACATATTTAAAATAAAATATTTAATGTTCGTTTCAATGTTGATAGGAGTCTAAGTAAAGATAGCAATTTCAGGATTGTCAAATCCAAATTTTAGAAAGCAGGGTTTTTTCGTTAAAAAACAGGAGTTGATCAGGAGACTTTCTCTCGAAACCAAAAGGAAAAAGCAAAGCGTTTCACTCTCAAATATTTATAACTTTGGTTTCTAATAAACGAGCAATAAAAAGGTCTGTCGTATAGTGAACGAAACAAAGAAAAACACAACGATAATTACACACAATTCATGTTACTGGTCTTTTCAAAGCTGTTTATTGAAAAATATAAACAAGACAGATACAAATAGGTTTTAAGAAACTACCAAAGACTTGAAATAGAACAGAGTAAACTGTTTTCCACATCTTTTTTGATATTGTTATTTCACGATTGTATCTTACTTCTGAGTGAATTAATTTTAGCAGTTCTTTACTATTTCAGAGATTTTTTTATTTTAATTCTAAACCCGATATAAATTAGGATCATTTTTCATTTTATTCTTATTATCATATCATCAAAATTTTGTGTGACGGAAGCTTAGCTCATAATTAGTTCTTTTAACTCATTATGTATCGGTCTATATCAGCACTAAAACCGAATCCATTCGTGTTTCTGGCTATAAAAAACTAAGATATAACATAAATTTCTGGTAGAGTTGATAAAAAAAGAGACAAAGCACAGATTACTTAATTGTTTATTGTGTGGTTCAGTTTAAAAAGATGATCCTAGTTTGATGTCTCATACATGCGCTTCGAAACTACATCCTTGCATAAAAGCCTTTCTCCTCTTCATTTCT